GTGTAGCTGCTGCAGTGACCGTTGGGGGTTAATAATTATTATGGTGTTTTATCATATTTTTTTACAGTTTACAGATGAATAAATATTACGAACGGCAATAAAATACGATGACGACGAAACGGGTGGGTGACAGTTTGCGAAAGCGAGTACGTTGGGAAATCGAGGAAAGAGAAAACGAAAAGAAAACCGACGAATGTGCACAGCAGTGCTGCCAGGACGAATGACAACAACGACGACGACGACGATGACAATAGAATTACCACGCAGACGCCGTTCAGTGTTCGACAGGTGTTCTGTGCATCGTGAAATACCGCTTGATGATTTCGGTCATGAGATCCCGGAACTCGGGGGATGCGGCCGTCGAGCGGCTGTCGACGTCTCCTCGGCCGTCGTCGCCCGGGAAGCGGCTGTAGCCCCGCGACGACTTGGACACGAACCGCTTGGCGCAGAACAGGAGACCGGTGGTGGGCAACAAGTTAAACGGCGGCGGCATGTCGTCCTGCAACATGTAGCTCACGTACACCTTGGTCCTGCCGAACAGCCACTCGTATTCGGCGTTATCGGTGACGCCCTGGAACGTGTCCGACATGGCGGCTATGAGCATGTTCATCATGACGACGACCATGAGCACCTCGAACGCGGCGAACAGTCCGTAGCCCACCAGCTGCGTGAACTGGTGGGACTGTACTTCCGTATCCACCAGCCCGGTGGCCGGCGCCGTGTTGCCGACCACCACGTTGGGCGCGTCCAGCGACGTCATGCAGAATATGCCCCAGAACAGCGTCTTGAACGTGTCGGCTATCGTGACAAACGAGTCTTCCTGCCGGGCGATCTCTCCCGTTTCCGGGTCCTTGCGCATCATGCCCGCGTAGTACGAGTAATACGTGCCCAGGCCGCACGTGAACGCCGCCATGATGATGGCCAGGAACGTGGCAAACTTGCCGAAGTCGTGCAGGACTTTGCCCAGGGACACCTGCATGGGCCCGATGTAGTAGTTGAGCTGGCACAGGAACAGTAGCCGCAGATACGCCATGACGGTGGCCACGGTGAACAGGCCCTCGGCCACCAGCTGCGGGTCGGCCCAGTGCCAGTACTTGCGGTCCAGGTCGTCGGACACCCAGCCGGCCTGGACGCCGGCCAGTATCCAGCACAGGAACGCGACGGCGAACAGCGTCAGCTTGACCGTGTCGAACACGTTCCACAGGTTCTTGAAGAACCGCTCCGGGCCCTGCTGCAGCCGCAGCTTCGTCTTCTCGACCGCGTGGCCGAGCACGAACACGGCGATCGGAAGCCACGTGCCCGTTTTCGGCGCGCCCCTGTGCGCCTCGAACTTGTCGGCGTTCGAGTGCGCGAACAGCAGCCCGAGGAACACTAGGTACGTGACCAGGCTGTTGAACATCCGGTTGATCGGCAACCGGTTGAATTGGTTCAGCTTCGAGTTGGGCGCCAACATTCCCAGCGCCACCGTGACCGGCAGCATGCAGAACCGCCACAGCAGGTACGCCACTTTTTGCGACCCCGAGTACGACTTCCACTCGATCCAATCGCCCAGCCACGCGGTCTCCAGCACCTGTTGGATGTTGGTGTGCGCTACGAACTCCTTTTGCTTGTAGTCCATAGCTGTGATCAGTCTCGGGTATGGGAACTTACCTCTGAACTTGCAACCGTCCCGGTTTCGCAACATGATCTTCACTTCGTCCGACGTCCTGCAGTTCACTATCATTTCCACCGCGAATTGTCTAACCTGAAGTCCGAAACGAGAATTTGTTGTTTTAATATCACACGCATTCCATCGCGTCACAATAATAAATCATTATGAAATGTGTAAACAATTAAGACCTCAAAGGAGATGTATTGAATCGGGGGTTGGAAAAAAAAACAATAATAGAATAAATAATTCAGTAGTCGAAGACTCAAAGCGCAGTAAACATGTTGTATTTACATAAAGTTTTATAGTTATATTCATTTAAATTCTTACTTTATGATCTAAATATACTATATAATATATATGAAACTATTATCACTTATTTCGATAATATAATTTAACACGGACCGTATTACTATACAGAATAATTCATCACGTGTGCTCACCCTTAATACTTTTTTTTTTGATAATGAAAAAATAAAGTTCCTTTTTAAAAAAAAATAAATGAAATAAAGAAGTTAAAAACTTACCTAAAAAAGAAAAGTAAAAGCTTGAAAAAATAGTCAAGCTTAATGTATTTGACCTATATAACTTATATAAGTAAAATAAAGTGAACCTACAGGCTACAACATTCTATTTGACTTAATTAAAATGTTTATTAATTTATAACTTATATTGTTCTGAATTAAAAAAAATATATATTAAGAATATTTATATCTAAATCTCGCTATCCACAATAGGTACTCTAAATATCAGCGATGGTGAACCTAGGGCTCACGTGCCAAAGGTGCACGTAAGCCAATATTTTTAAAACCTCCCATCACTATGAAAAAGACTTGTATATAAGTATACCTATGACATATTACTGGCACGTGAATTTTTTTTTAAACTTTGATTGCAAAATGTTGGCACGTGATTCGAAAAAGGTTTGCCATCCTTGGTATATAATATATATATGAGCGTAAATTATGTAATTTAGTTAATAACGGTAGGTGCAATTTCTATATAGACAATAATATAACATTAATACAATTATAATCAATATTATTTACAATAGTTGTAAAAACGACACCAAACAAATAATTAGTAATAGCAATTATATATTACATTCTTATTTTATATAATAATTAATTATTTACTTTTAAAACTGTATATTTTATTATAACATTAAAAATCTCGTAAAATATTACTTATTGTGCAATTTTTTCACCCGGTTGTATATTATATTTCCTTATGTGGATTATCGAGCTGCTTTTATGCCCATTTCAGGTTTAAATAAGCATTTAAAGACTAAATATAAAAATTGTCAAAACTATGAGTTCTTTTTTAATGATTTTAATGAATCTAAGTCAATATCGATCAAACACGTTAGAGGTCACGTCATAATAAATACCGCCGAGTATCATAAAAAAATATATCGTGTTCAATTAACACATGTACTAAGTTTTTTGATAAACCGATAAATTTCCCCTTTGCAATCTACACAAAACGTGAATATTGAATCAACATACTTAAATTTTAATAAAGTTGAAGGTAAATAAATCATATTTTATAATTGTCAAAAGTTATAATTATTAATTTTTTGTTATTGTGGACAAAATCATATTTTATTTGTGAACTGTTATTGCAAAATGGATTGATCACTATAATGAATGAATGTTATTTATTTACTTTTATCTAACGTTATCTGTTTTTAATACTTTATTTTTTTATTTAAGCAACTAATAAATGTCAACAATACGCTTAATCCTTAAATAATAAATTAAGCCGAAAATTAATAAAAAATCAACTCGAAAACCTCACAGAGAAACACATTAATAATAATTGAATAATTAAGATAAGTTCTAAGTCATTGTCTATAATATCATCAGTAATAGATAATTTTCCCTTACGATGTGACGAGTTATAACCATGGTCGTGGAATTTGGGGCGATGAGAATACGAATCATACAAACGATTTTTTTTGCGGCGAACCTTTCGTAAATTTTAGGCGGTGGGTTGATCATAACATAGAGAATCGGTTAGCCTTGACACCGAAGGTTTACAGCATGCATATGGCAAAATATAGAGTATTCGAGTTTGTATTTGTTTTAACACTGTGTTCAATAATGACAATTGACGAGTATCGTCATCGCGATTGCAATCGATACTTAGTCGCGTAAACGGATCCCATATATTTGTTCGTATTTAAAAGAGCATCATACTGCAATTTAATTAGATTTTTCCCCCACTGTCCCTACGTCACCTGTGCAAAACATTATCAGTGTCCACTGTGTGACTGTTATATTCTGTATATAGATCACCTGTGCGGCCATATACGTGTACGTAGTATTGTGCACCGGTTCGGCGGATCCACACCGCAACAGCTCTTCGTGCAACCGGAAGCACTCGAGTACCGGATCGGAACTGGAAGACGTTGTGCATATGAACGTCGGGTTGCTGATGGCCCAGTATCCGTTCAACCGTTTGCAACTGTCGGATACCACGTCGGCGCGCGAGGCCGAGATCATGCACTGGTCACTGCAGGTGCACCGAGGTGGATGCGGCCTGTCCAACTTGTGGCCGCGGTTCACCAGGTACTCGACCGTCTCGTACAGGCCGCACTGCGTGGCCAACATCAGCGGCGTCATGAACTGCGGAAACTCTTCCGAATCGACGTCGGCTTCCTGGTCGTCTCCTTTAACGCCGCCATTGTCGTCGTCGTCGTCGTCGTCGTCGTCTGACTTTACCCGATTCCAACCGCTGCCCCTGCCCCGGTTTCCTGCTCTGTTGTTGGTCTCGTCGAATTCCAGCAGCCGATCCAACATCTTGAGGTTGTCGTACGTGATTGCCAACAGTATCAAATCACCGATTTTCACGTCTGCAGTTTATATATACACGTTACCGGCAATGGTCATAGTTAGACACTGTCAAAAACGATTAGAAGATAATACAATTGCTTGAATTACGTGGGAATGGTTATTATTTACTTTTAATCTTTAAATTTTTGACAATGCCTAATGAATGCAGGAAATGGTTAGGTTAGGCTTTTTAAAAATGTAAATATATTATATAAACTACTAAGGCGTTATGATTAATGACTGATGCTCTTTAGGCAATTATAAAAGCTATACAACTAAATTAACTGCCATTAAAAATGTATTTAAATTTAAAAGTATGTTGAGTGCATTAATTATAAGCTGTAAGTCTTATATTATTTTTTTTAAATCGCACTGATCCAGTAATATACTCGTACTATGTATACAATATTACTGTATAAATATTTTCTCAATAACTATATAAATTAAATAGTCTAATAATTTACGATTAAAGTAAAGCTCTTTTTAAAGTTTTCCGTTGTTATTTTTATTGACAATTATATACATTTTTTCATGGTTTGTTTAAGTGTAAATAACTTATGGTTAAAGTGTAGATACTTGCCTTTTTGTCGAAGGAATAAATCAACTAGAGGTTCGCATTGGTTCTGTACAGCTATATGTAATGGTGTGTATCCCTGTTTTTTCATGTTGATATTTATACTGTTGGTTTCCAAATAGTTTTCGATCGCCGGCAAGTTGCAACTCTCTACTAATGCGAAGAATTGTTGTTCCTGAGACGTCAACTCGTCCGTGAACGAGTACAGCTGTCCAGACATGTTGATCTTGGTTTCTTTCTGCGTGGACAATAATATTTACTAAATATAAACACTAAAAGGTCACAAATTGAGCGTAATAAACAAAAATTAATCTTTAACTCAAATATTTAGATATAAATTCAATTTCGAACTGCAAAATTTGAAGAAAAAAATTATCATAATTCATATTTAATAAAGTAAGAGTATTATTAATAAAATATACTCAACTCACACACACACACACACACATACATATATATATAACGCATTTATTTATTTTTCGATAACATAACACGAACAATGCCTATGTAAAGTTATGACTTAATGAGCTAATGGCTTTTAATTCTATTCATACGTAGAATGACTATAATGTAGGTAAGGTAAAGAACGTATTTATTTTGAATTTTAGTTATAAAATCCTGAGACCTTAATGCGTGAGTAAGTAAACAAAAATATTCGCTATCATACAACAATTAGATAAATTAAATAATCAAATTTATTTGAATCTATTATCTGTATGCATAATGCATTTTTTAACACTTACTTTACCCATCGCGAATGGTTAATCTCGGAGGTATATGTTAAACAGTTACAATATATACCTAATCATTGTTTAAAAATTCATTTGTTTGATAATCGTAAACTAAACAAATGTATTTATAATATTATAACCACAGTAACCATTTTTTTCTTATTTTAAGCTAAATGTTAATGAGGACTATGCACCTATAATAACACTTAAACTAGGTAATTAAAAAATGAGTAATGATTTTAGTAGAAAACTTATAATTTAATCATTAATAATTTTAAATTATTTGATTTTTTTTTTTTTTTTTTTTGATCTTCCACATTTTATCGTAAACAAATATAATAATAATATTATACCATATTTTTTTCTTTAAAAAGTTTTTATACATAGATTATCTGATAGAACTTTATTGTTATGAATAGAAAGCGATGTTCTAAGTTTATTTGACAGAAAAAAAAAAGATACAACAAAAATTGAGCGTCAAAAAAAAAATTTAAAACGGCAAGGTAACGAGACATTGGAAACGAAATAAATTGAAAATCTTTAAAAAAATATTAAATAATCACTTGAGAAAGAAGTATGTACCTATATTTTATTTTATAGATATTAATTTTCAAAATGCAAATCCGTGGGGTCTTACGATATACGAATGACATTGACATAGCTCTCTAGTAATTAATTGTATAATACAGGGGTCGGCAACCCGCGGGCCGCATGCGGCCCGCAAAGCAATTTTTAATGACCCGCACAAAGGTGGTTAATTTTTGTGTTTTACTTTTGTTCAATAACATTTTTCATATAATTTTCAATATTATATAATTCTTTTTCCTTTATAAATAAAATCTAATCTAACCGTTTCATAATAGCAATACAATTATAAGTGTTATATCATAATATGTAATTTTTTTTTTTTAATGTGGCCCTTGATGAACAATTGAAAAAAAAAAATGGCCCGTGTGGTTAAAAAGGTTGCCGACCCCTGGTATAATATATGAGTTTGAGGAGATAATTTGGCAAAAATTAGTTGAAAACACAATATTACTATTTATAATATAATTATAAATTATCGTCAAGAATATAGAAACCGAAACCATAATCAAAACCGTTTTTCGTATATGCGCAATCGTTTATCATTGTGTTCATATATAGCACACGTCCAGCGTTATAGTTCGTTAACGACGATAGCTATCGCCTATATACGAGACGGTAACAATATCTTTTCAATATAACCAGTGTATTACGCGTTGAACGGACCTATATAGTATACGACATTGTTTGCCGGACAAGTATACACATTACGCTGCACGAGCAGCGTACGAGCAATTCGTATTTATTTGAGCGAATGAAACGAGAACGAAAAGTACGTAATATACGCAGACGACAGCGGCTGCGGTAAAACGGCAGCACATTACAAGCGAGAAGCGAACGACGCGAGGACGAGAATCGCCGATTTCGCGCGCGTCGAGGACACGCTACAAACAATATTATATAATGCGACGGTCGCCGCAACTTCCGCCACCGATGCGCCAGTCCCGATACACACCACCGCCACCCGACCTCCACCGACCTCCACCGCCGCCGTCGACAACACCGACCGAACCCACACCCCCTGGCCCACGCGCCCCGTGCACGACGCCGTCGGTCCGTACAGCCGTGCGCGTTCCTCAACAAGTCACACTGTGCGAGTCGGCGGCGCTATTCTTCACGGACACTGCGGTGGCGGGTAAACATTAATTATTGTCTCCCGGAAACTTTCTACATTTATATCCCCGCGCGACCGCCCTAGCCGTCGCTGCCGCAGTGTCTTAATATCGCGCACAATGCGCGATTTCGACCGAAACACACCAGCCCGCCGCCACTCGACCGAACCCTCGTCATCGTCATCGTCGTAGTAGCATTGTATATTACGCGTAGGTATCCCCGATCTGGAAATCTCCGCGAGGGAATTCGCCCGCCGGCCCGACCGGGTAATTCGGTCCGAACTCGATACGAGCATGTATTCTCTCTCTCTCTATATATGTATATATATATATATATTATAAATGTGTACATTGTGCGTGTAGCGTACACTTTTAATACGACACCGTCCCGCTTCAGTCCCGTCGACGTCGTAGCCAAAGGACGTAATAACAATTCCTGTTTAGTAAATAATCTAATAAGGAATAGCGCCCGCGATTTGTCATCGTTATGATAATATCCGTTGGCGGTGGTCACACGACCGAACGGGGTTCGTCTTAGATGTAGGCACGTGCGAATAGTGAACACTATAGGCTCATTTTCTTGTTTTTTTTTTTTTTTTAAACTCATAAGTTTATACGTATTTTAAGTACTAGAAGTCCTCGGCTCTAGAACTACTTGAAACACGAATTATTAATATAAAAATATATACGTACATAAATATAATATGTTATTTTAAATATTTTGTTTTTAGTTCTATTTCACAGGTGCGCCGTTGCGATGTTTGAGAATAGTGCACAAATTATTCTGCGTATTATTCGGCTCATAAGTTAAAATCAAAATTAAAATCGTAAAAATGTATAACAGATACTTAAAAATAAAAAATAACAAAAACTATGTCGAAACTGTAATTGAAAATCATAAAATTATAAAATAAAATAATTTTATTTTTTATTTAAATTAGAAAAAACTAATATTGATAATCGAAATTGTAACTAAATTCGTAAAATTTCGTTTCGATATCAAGCCCCGCTTAAAAATTAAACGGGAGTTCGCCGTGAAGCGGAATAATATACACGTGTAAACCTGCACCAGTGATTCAACCCCTAGCTCTTTACAACCCTCGCGTTTTATTCACCCCGACTACCCCCGAATCATAATATCGTAATGATTATTATTAACATAATATTATTATGATTTACGACACGACTGAGTTACGTCGGTAATTCGCGATAATCATTTCGTTACAATCATTTTATTATACTCACGTATAACTAACACGGTAATTAATAACCACTTTTATATGAAGGGTATTAATGACATTTCATAATCGCTATACATATGTTTGTACTTTACTACTCTATATTTGTATATCATACTATATTTATAAAGTAACACAATATTCTTAAACTGCAGTACACTTTTCAAGCATAACAAATATACCTGCCGAAAAAGAAAGCAATTTTTCTGGAACGATACTCATTTTTTTCAACCCGTTTAAGATCTTATAGAAGTTAAATCATTAGCATAGGTTGTTAAACATAGCACGTTGTTCGGTTATTTAAAGATCGAAAAATAAATAATCAGTCACTGTACACTACAGTTATTAATAATTTTATAATATAAGTACAATATATGAAGTTTACATGATATGTACGATATTATGATGTAATTCATCGATTAATTCTTCATAATTTGATTACTATAAGAGTTTATTCACAGAGTTAGTTACCTACTATATTTTGTGCGCTAACGTGCAAGATAATTGGTTGACTTTAGTGAATCTTAAAAGTTTTAAATTTTTTTAAACGTTTATGCGACTCTATGATATACTATGTAGTATAAATTTAAATTGCATTTTTGTGCGTTACAATTTTATAAGTAACGCGTAGCTAGACTAAATATTATTAATATTACAAAACTTTATTCGTGACGATGTTGTGTGTTCAGCATATTTAAATTAAAATAAACTTCTATCTGATAACAAAACTAAAATAAAGACAGGTACTTGTTAATCAGTTTTTTCAACTCGTTAAGTTAAGTAAATATACAGAAAAAAAACAAGTTAATTTAAAAGTGAAAAGTTTTTTTTTTTTTGTATTGACTTAATTCAGTTAAAAGTCAGTTATATTCGTTCAATATTTTAACAAGTATAATTTCATGTCTTTGGAAAATATACAAATAATATTTAACCCTACTTAAAGAAATGAAAAAAAAATGAATTTAAAAGCATCTACTTTATAAGTATTTAGAACGACATTTATAGAATAAGTATATGAAATTTAAGTTCAATGTATGATTATAAAAAACTCGTCACCCGTTACGTAATACTTAACCTCTTACATTAGTCTAATGACCGTCATCAATCGATCGGTTTGTTGAAAAATAAAGACGATTGTGCCCTTGCTATTGACAATTATTACAATAAATAACAACAACAAATAGTAAAAAAGACATTCTGATGGCGCTTTAAAAAGCTAATATATTTACGTAGTACGGTAGTACTTTTTATTGATAAAATTAATTATTTCAATTAATTTTCTGTTTGTACTTCGTTGAAAAGTTGTTGATGTATTGAAAAATATTTTATTATTTTTAATATTTTATGATATTACCATGCATTTCGAATTATTATCATACCTTAAATTCTTTGCTTTTTTAAACAACGGCTACAATACTTATTTTTAATTTCATATTTCTAAGCACAACATTTATATTGAAACATTAATAATTCCATAATATATTGTACAAAAAAACAAAGAGATTACCTAATTAAATTATATTTTTAGTTAGATACAAATAATTAAAAGAGTACGATAATAATATAGACTTA